AACGCAGTTTAGTCATACATCGCAGACAAATGGTCGATCAGGTAATTAACCCGTACCGATTTTTCAGAGCGTATTTCAAGGTCTTCTTAATGGTGGATAGTACTGATATCCGCAGTTCGTTCTGTGGTCCGCAGCTACTGTAACTTTTGAGCCAAAAGGTGTGCTTCTGTTACTATTTAACTAGCAGCATTGGCCAGAAATACTCTGGTCCACTCTAAATAAGGTTTGGGAGGTGAGAGCTTCAACGTCTGTACTGGTTAATCACCCGACTGGCCAGTTTTTACACAGTTTTCAATTTGTCCTACTCCTGTTTTGTATGCGAATCTGCTTTAATAGGCATAAACATAAGGAATCATTGAGGATCACCATTCGCGTTAGGGTCACGTTAGCATTAAAAAACGTTGCACTATTTTTCAGTCGTGCTTTCTAGGAAGAAAGTTTATTCATGAATTTTTGTACATTTTTAACTGTTGTTTGATTGCTATTTCGAACTCTAATCTTCCAGTTACCATCGAGACCGAAATGTGAAATGTCTTTGCTCGTGTACTTGATTGGAGGTGATCTACAAGCATATTGCAACTATAACTAGTACTGATTTAGCTACATCTTTTGATTCACCTACGATGACCTTGCAGTGGACAGCGGTCGCTATCTTTCTTTATATTGAGATCGGCACTTTGATGTTGCTTATGCTACCTTGGATTCGGCCACCTGTGTAAGTATTATTTTGTACGTTTTTCTATATGTGTCTGTTAGATGGATATGCATTCAGACGTTAGAGTTCTGTACAAAAAAATAAATTGCGTGATTTAATGATTAAGATTTTATTGCTTGAATTGTATCATATAGTCTATGAACACTCTTCGATCATGCAGAAAGAATTCTTGAAATAAAAAGAAACGAAATATTCGACATTGAATGATATCGCAAGACAATTAAAGTGAGCAGTCTCGTTTTGTTCAGGTAGAAAAAATAAATCAAGCAAGAAGGAACAAGAGCGGATCAAGTTAACACCATAACGAACAAATAAGACAGCAATAGCGTTTAAAGAAATCTACATTTTATTGGGCATAATCAAATACCACTGCACTGAAATAGTATAGATGACCTGCTCCTGAAGAGGTTTTGTCGATTGTGAGACGTTGATGAAATGGGATCACGTGGAAAAGCATATGAACAGCTGTTGGATAGTTAGAAAGTAATCTATTTCTCGATATACTAGTTCCAATGTTAGATCGCTGAGTATATAATCTGCGATGCCAGTTGTTTAATGGCAAGCAGCCTATCCGTGACAAGCATTTATGAAACCAGCCTATCGCTTTAAAATTGTTAACCAGTTGTCCACAGTGGGAATCTTGTGTGGTGGTAGAATACACGAAATGCAAATAACATGTGCGTGAAGCGTGCGAGTTGTTCAGCCTCTCTGAGTTACTATTAACGGTACGCTTTACTGGGATGTCAAGCTAACAGAGTGTGACCCCAAGATATTTAATATGATACCTGATAATAGGTGCATATAACAGAAATAGTTGCATAATAATACATAATAATTCAGATTAATCATAAGCGAAATGAAAATACGAATCTAGGCGACCAGAATAAGCTTATAAAAGTCAGTAACAAAACAGTAGGAATAACAAAAACAACAAAACTTTAGTACCAAAATCAACAGTAGAAATTCTGTTGCTCTAAACGTTGGTTACTGTTAAAATCGCTCGTTGCTCTTGCACTTTCAGTCTAATTCAAGATGGATGTTTCTGTTTCTACTTTCTTTTATGGCATAGGAAAGAGGTGACTGACAACTATTTTAATGGCCTTCTAGACATAAGTTATAATGCCGTCGAACTTTTGCAACAGGTATTCGAAATGTGCTGCATGGCGTGATCTTCATTGCGGGCAGAACTTTATCTTCCAACGGTTGTGATGTCCGCAACCCCCTTTTCTGTCCAAATCCGGGTTAACTTAACCATTTTTAGCGAGTCAAGTCCGTGCCAAAAGTACTGCAGGTTTTTTGTCACTAGCCCATCCACAATAGTTGCATTATACGCGAAAGGTTCAAGTGCTGAATGAGTTGTTCCCATTTATTCATGCCAATAAAAATGCTCATTTATGAACTAGAACAGTCACTTGTACATGAGTATATCTAAGCAAGATTATGGATCTCTTTGAACAGACACTTAATATAAAAGTACTTTTTATGCAAATGAGTACATTTATCTATAGATGAATTAAATGTTGCAAATATATGGGGTTAAATCAGTAGATAATCTCTAATATGCCTATGTATTTGTTCTCTAATTATATAGGAAAGGTATGTACATAAAATTTATGCACTGGACTATCGTTATAAATGAATGATTGTACACAAATAGTAAGTCTTCTATGCTGTACTGATAATTGACCTGTTTTCTGAATTACCTC